CACAAAATACTGACCTTTTGATCAATTCGTTCCTTTTACCCGAAACTTTCGCTCCTCTGCAGGTCAACCTACGTTTTAATATTGCCACTGTGCAATTTTCAGGGGGCTTTGGGAGCTCTGCTCCAGGAATATCTTGTTCAGTAAGCGTTATTGTGTCGCCATCGCTGTCCTTCATCACCGCCATCTTGAGACGCGTCCCCTAAAGTCGCCCCAGCGTGCCTTGCGCCTACTGAATCGACCCATTTCCCCGTTCAACGTAAAATGGCGAATTAGACAAATCTTTTACCTCCCTTTTAATTTTCAACTGACGCGTACGCTTACCATATTTGTAGATTATGGTATAATGGCTAAGCCAAGAAAAGGTCTTGAATTGCATTATCCAATGATCCAGTTTTTAATAATTAACAACTATTCACCGAAGTGGAGGTGGTTAGTGGTGGATATAAATATCTACCGCTAACCACTGACAATGAGGTGAATAATTGTTTTAGTATACACTAAAGCAGTGAGATAATATACACCACCGTCGTTAATTTGAATGATTTCTTCGCTTGTCACGGATGCAAACCGGGACGCTATTTCTTCCCGAGTTGCTCGGAGGTAAATAGCAAAGGATATTCGGAGTTTGACTAGCCAATCAGAGCGCCCCTTCGACGCTATCCACTGCTGTAGTATATACTAATTATAATAATTTGGATATATCAACAAAGTTGAAATGGTAAATTGGCCACCGTAACGATTACAAAAGCTGACGTTTCGAGCGTTAGCCCTTCGTCGGTGCGACGAAGGGCTAACGATGTCGAGTAAAAGTCGAGTCGAGTAAAAGTCGTATTATCATATTGGCACGATCTTATTTCAGAGTAAAAGTCGAGTCTAATAAATGTCGAGTAAAAGTCGATGTCGAGTAAAAGTCGTATTATCATATTGGCACGATCTTATTTCAGAGTAAAAGTCGAGTCTAATAAATGTCGAGTAAAAGTCGATGTCGAGTAAAAGTCGTATTATCATATTGGCACGATCTTATTTCAGAGTAAAAGTCGAGTCTAATAAATGTCGAGTAAAAGTCGATGTCGAGTAAAAGTCGTATTATCATATTGGCACGATCTTATTTCAGAGTAAAAGTCGAGTCTAATGCTAGACTTTTATCCCTTTCATCCCTTATCCCCTTTTTATCCCTTAGCTTTTATCCCTTAGATTATTATCATATTGGCACGATCTTATTTCAGAGTAAAAGTCGAGTCTAATGCTTGACTCGACTTTTACTCTGAAATAAGATCGTGCCAATATGATAATAATCTAAGGGATAAAAGCTGGTAATGACTGTCCTGCCATTAAAGTCCCATCATGTGATAACTTTCTCTACCTTAGTTTATTCGAATATGGATTTGTTTAAAGCCGTGATGCTCGAGAGAATCGAGCTTTAAAGCAACCGGAGAAACTTGTGCCATCGCTGATGAAATGTCCGGACGGCAAAAGATCATGTTGAATCTCGTCTTCAGGAATTTCTCGGTCAGTTTTCAAGATGGAGGCGGGTCCAGTGAAAGAACACCTCTTACACACACACCTCTCTAAAAGGACTGCCTATTGGTGCTTTTCTTGCATGGTATTTTATAAGTTTAATCTGTTCAAAACGAAGATGACAGCTCGTGGGAGGTTTTCGTTCCGCCAAGGCAGGTCAGTCAGAAAAACGATCATGTCACGATTTGTAATTTAGAGCGCAGGTTTTTTATGACTAATACCTGATGACATCACTCAAATTTATCCGGTAATAAGAAGTTAAATGAAGGATGATAGAGAGTGGCATCCTCCACCACCAGTGAAGACCAACTTCGGGCAAGAGGCTCTTACAGCGCAAAATTCAGAGTGACGCGCCTGAAAGATAACACGCTCTCTTTCCATACGACGGATGCCTCTAGATCTTACTCTAAGAAATGTTATGTACTTTAACTATTTTGTAACACTGTTTATTTATGCTTAATTGTTATCCCAATTGATAAAATGTTTTTTTCGTATGATATTATTTACCTAAAAGCTGCCTTTTTATGCCGTGTGTTATTGTCTTTAATTCTTTAACTCTCAA